CATAAAATTCCCAATTTAAAAAAAAATACAGTTCACCTTTCCCTCCATTTGTAAATGAATTACATATAACCCACAGTGTGTTGCATATGGAACAAGAAACAGTATTACTGTTGAGTCACTCACATGAGAGGACAAGTGACACACTAACCTGTTAAGAGTCATGGTGCAATTTTCAATCGGTGAAGTTCAGTAGTTCCTAGAGCAAGCTTCCTCTGTCTCACTACACCATTCTTTGCTGGTGGAAGTTAAATACTGGTAGACATCTACTCATCTATTACTCTCAAGTAAATTTATCGCTTTCCTTAGTGTTTTTATTCAGATTGCAAAGATCTGTTTAAAAGAATTCTGCACCCTATGCAAGAGGAGGCAGCAGCATGAAGCAAAGAGGTGTTTCCTTCAGAAGTTGCACCACACAGGCCAGCCTCTGCATTACAAAGCAAATGGCACCAGCTAGGTACCCCGCCCAGGGCTGGGGATAGGCAATGTTCTCTGCACAATCAATAACGCCTTCTGCAGCACTGGGATAGAGCTATCCAAAATACACAGTCTTTGGGAAAACAAAGATCCCAAATTTCTTATTATTGTAACCTCTGCAGAAAGCTCCATATACATAAGGATCCGCCTCTGTCAGCATGAAGTAGCTACAAAACGCCTGTTTCTTTCTCTACTAAATCTAAAGGCTTTGCACTGTGAAGTGATTCAACATGAAATCAACTCAGAGCACCCTCTCCTTGGACAACTATACTTTGCCTTTCCCATTCCTCGTCTTAATGACTTTTCCAAAGAGTCACCTGTAAACAGGAAATATTTTACCAGTTTTGTGTATGTTGGGGTGGTGTTTTGTTTATTTGCTTTTGTTTTTCAAGTAGAGGTCACTGTTTAATATGATATACCTCTTAAAAGAAACACATACATTAGCCTGACTTAGTGAGAAAAAAAGAGAAATTTGATTGACCAGTATAAAACCATGTCCTATCTGCAGAAAGTGCTAAAAACTCCCACAAGTTGCTTTCAGTCGAAATCGGTTGAATTATTAACATGCTTTATCTCTGCATTGGTATACAGACCAATTCTGAGACAAACAGGCAGACTGCTGCTGTATTAGATACAACAGCTACCTTTCATACAAGCATTTAAGAAATCAGCAGAAGGAAGAAGTGCCAGACCTTTGTCCTTCTCTTCAATACTGAGAAGACACATGGAAATTTGGTTTTAGTGAAAGGAAATGCCTTTTCATTTTTTTGTCTGAATTTGGCTACAGATTTATGTCTAAATCTGAGAAGCCTGCCGCTAAACAGCAAGATATTTGAAATAAAGCTTTTAATGCAGTAAATAACTGATGGTAGTCCTCACCTGCAATTTTATTGAGGTGACATACTTTCCCATAGTATGAAAGCTGTGCTTCAAAGTAATTTTTCCTACCGTCTTAATACTGCATATGGCATATCAGAAAATTTGTATTAAATAAATGAATCGGTGTAATATTTTACAGCTTCCTTTGACTTACCAGAGATCACTATTTTTAGTCAAGAATTGACACTAAAGCTTTGCTAGTGTCAAACAAGTTTAAGCAATGTTCGCTATGGTCTCCAGCTCAGGTGTTCCGTAAATTAAAATGGTAAAATCTTTACTGAAGTCAAGAGCAAAACTTGCATTGACTTCAATAAAGCTCAGATTTTTCCCAGAAATTCTTATGATTCATGTCATGGTTACTTATTGTTTCAAAGGTATTCTTCCATTTTTATGATAATTTTAGTTCTGGGTTGTATTTTGGAAGGCCTCCAGATACATGGGTATAGATGGTTTTCTGCATCCCCAGCAGTGCCCCTGCTAGCCCACTGGCTTAGTAGTATTATATAATGCATGTCAAGCATTTCTGAGATGCTGTGTGGGAAGTCACCACACTTTACAACAATTATTTTAATGCTATGGCTTTAGGATCTCACAATATCTGGGACATTATTGCTTAAATGAAAGATCATTCATGTGCAACATACTGCATCCAATGACATTAAAAAATAGAAAAAACACACAAGGCCAGAAGCCCTGTCAGTATGTTGATTCACTCTGTAATTTACAGTTCATACCACATTATTGCAATAGAAAAAGCACCCTAGTTAACTCTTAAATTTATTAGGAAAACTTAATGCAGTTTCCTAAAGCTTTTAATGTTGACTTTTCTTTGCATCCAAAGTAAAAACGGAGCGACTACAATAGGAACTGGGCAGGCCTCTGTTTTTAACCATCCTATCAGCTATACCAAGTATTAAGTAATGAGATTGCATCCTAAACAAAAATAGGAAAAGGATATCTCAAACATACTAAATGTTGGGAGCAGGTATTCTGCAATCACAGTAGTTCACCAATGCCACTGGAGCAATTTCTTTAAAAAAAAGTAAAGAGGAAGGAGGAAAGTGGCATGCAGTCATGAACAATGTGAAGTCACTAGATCTGTGAACAAAAAAAAAAAAAAATATGCTGGGAATCAAATGGAAAAGGAGAAAGGGGGTAGTAGGCAAATTGTACAGGGAAGACAGCAACAATTTCCAGAGCCTGCTTTAAAATTAAAACTCAGAACTTTTTTAGCATCTTTTTTGCAGTTGCTTCTAAAAAAAACCATAATGGGAACAGCCAATTTTAGCAAGGCTTTAGATTATTTTTATTTGTAAAAGCAGCTAAAGAAAATGAGAAAAGATTCATCCAGGCACAGTGGATCTGTTCTCAGATTACTCCTAAGGATACTTGAAGGCCTTAATCTTTGCAATGCTAAAAAGGAAGCCCTGGAAGAATCATGATTATCCTTCCCCATAAGCATGAAGGAGGCCATAATAATTTCCAATGGATGGCACAGTAAGATTGTTTCTAGCAAGGTTGTGGGGAACAACTCCAGAGTAAAAAAAAAAAAAAAAAAAAAAAGTAGTTTTTAGTAGTTTTCAACTTCAGAGATAACAGTTTAAAATGAGTACATGAATTTTATATCCAATTTTCAAGTTACTTAGGAAATAAGCTAAGCTTAAAAAAACCCGGTAAGCATCTCACATGCTACATTAAGGGAATTCTTAATGTTTATACTGTGATGTAATTTTATAAATTTAGTTCTAGGAGGAAAAAAGTTATTTTGCAAATTAAGTTTTACACCAGCCTCCCCATGAGCTGTACTTTAAGAAAACACTGTATAAATAATAGTGGTTTTTAACCATTACACATGAATCAGCTTGTTTTGACAGATTTAAAAATAATGTATCTTTAAAAAAATAAATCTTGTCATCAGAAAAAGGTTATTTTTCCTCTTGGCTATTGATTTTAAGGACTACAGTAAATTAAGTAAGGAGTGATACCCCTCCCTCATTCTCTTCTGAATTATATTACATGGGGTCTTGATCTATTGGAAAGAACAGAATCAAATCTTGTTACACACTTGGCAAACATATCCCTCAATCAAAATTAACTTAGACTGAAATAGAAAAATCTGTGACAGTCAGAACTTTTTTTAAATTGAGCTACCTATTCATGAAGAACAAAATAATGCAAACAGATTTATTACTAAAATTATAAAATTATTTGCAACTTGTTTGGAGCAGAACTCAACTGTGTATGGTTTCAGAATGTTCTCAAAACACCAAGAATTTGTGCAGAAGCAAACAAATACATAAACTCAGAAGTTTCAAAAAACAACCACAGTGGAAATTTTTCTTTTTCACGTTTATCCAGAAAAGTCTAATGTCTTAGCACAGTGACATTTGTACAAACTGATTTGTGCGCTATGCCACACTTGTGTAAATTACACAATAAATCCCGTAAACACTGAAAAGATAAACACTGGTATTTCTCAACTAAGTTACAGATATACCTGTTGTAAAAATGTAATGTGAGATCAGGAGCAATATTACACAAAATCCTGAAAGTCACAGCATAAACCTGAGATTTTGGCAGTTTTATCAAAATGTCCTAAATTACTCTGTATGCATCACTAGTCCTCATGTCTTACTCACCATGTATATTTGTTTGTCCCAAACAAAGAAAAGTAGACTTTTTTTTCCCAGCAACACATTAAACGAAAAGTGATTAGGTATTATCAAATTAAATATCATAAATAAAAAGTATTTACAGTATTTTCTAATTATTAGACAACAAAATAACCAATTAAATTGTGCAACAAACTTAAAACACCCAACATCAAAAACGTGAAGTATTACTTAAATCTTCACGTACTGATTTACAAAAAAATATTAAAATATTTAAAAATTTCCATTTTATCTATTTTAAACAAAGAAATTTCAAAAATGTTTAAGACTATTAAGAGTTATCAATTACACAGGCACTTCACATGTAAACAATCTACAGTACAACTGAAAAAAATGTTTGGCACCAACCTAGAAGACTGGAAAAAACTCAACAGAATGTGTCCTTTTCCCATTGTATACTCTTTTGTATAATCACCATACACTCAGACTAAATACTGGCAATGTTAGAAGTGTGTAAGTTACGATCAGGAGTGCAAAAAATAAAGAACACAAATTGAGCTTTCTGAGCATGGAAGTGGATTACAAGTGATCAGTCGCTCGCATTTTTTCCGTCATACCATCGTTATATTTTTCTTACCTTTAAATCAAATGATTGACTTGAAAGATTAAAGTGAAGGGGGGGGCGTGCTTTGTACTTCTAAAATAATTCAAACAACATTTGCAGTGTAGGAAAAGAAATCCAGCATTTAACTGTAACACTGTGAGATGTTAAATGGCAGCTTTTAACTTGCATTAACTGGAAAGAGAACCTGATGCTACCACAATTTCTTTGTGCATCCAATTACCAAAAAAGAAATTAACTGTCAGCTGACTCCAAGGTTTTCACATACAACTCCAAAGTAAGGCTCTCTACAGCATCTGGACAGATACTAGTTTTTGATGGCTTGGATGTTCCTATGTAGGAAGCTGAACTGCCTCAGAGCAATCCAAATCAACAGATCAAATGGTAAGTTGTCTAGCTTCCTAGAAGTCATGTCACATGGAGGAAAGCTGAGATACTTTCAACGTTGGCAATTCAAGCAGAGCTTGAACTGTGAGGCCAACCTTCACCAGACCCCGTTCCTCCAGAATGTGATGAGGCAAGCAAAGTCTCTCCTGCAAAATAAAGCAGTACATGTATCAAGCTTCATTCATTTTTTCCTCAAGGCAGGTAACAAATGCGTTCTCTCTGAAGTCATGCATACATCGCTATGAGACACTTGAATAGAAAAGGTCTTTGGCCTTAAATTTTGCATGTGGTTCTCTACAGTAACAGAATGGTCAGAAACTAATTGGATTTAAGATCTGTTAAACTATGACAACATCAGAAGATACATAAAAGACTGCTAATTTCAGAAAGCCAAAGACTCTGTTTCTTTTCATAAGCAGAGCAAGAAAAGCAAGCTGATGGGCACTGTTGGCTCAGTGGCCTACTTCCCCCTTCCCTTGTTTTGCAGGCTTACTACCAACTTTGCCCTTGGGAAGACTTGGAAGTGCTGATGACCGGCTGCTCAGTAATGAGCCATTCCCCAAGAAAATCATCTTTCAGTTTCAAAATTCAGCACAAGCTGGACAATTTTCCCAAGTGCTAGCTGCTGTTACATGTAATTCAGGAGGCAAATCTTAGCATCTCTAACTTCTGAATGGCCTGTGGCTCCACATTAGATAGAAGCTGTGGCAGAGCAGTAACCCAGGCTTCTAAATCCATGAACTAATTTTCTTGTTCCACTAAAAAGGGTTGAGGAAGTTTTTGGTGTCTCATAATATGCAGGAAATTATTTGATCTTTAGTTTTTTTCCCCTCTCATACAGGGAAGTAAGAGGATGAACTAGGGCAACAGAAGTATGAATAATGGGCTGCAACTATGGCTGTGGCAAAAAAGATAGCTAATCAGTTAGACTACATATTTCTATAGTTGCAGGATTTTTCCTAGGCAGACACTGAAATTCATGTTAAAGTTGGGTTGCTAAACTCAAGACTTTCAAATATTACATCATCATCCTCTTGCATCAGTTCTTCTGTTTAGATGATATTTTATTTTACAAGGAGGTCAGTATTATTTTTACTATAACGAACTGACTAGAAACCCATGAAGTATCTTCCTCAAGTTCATGCCACAGGCCAGAAATAGGACTTCTTTTTGTATCTTCAAGTTCCCTGGTCAGTGTCATAATCACTACTGCTCCCTGAGTTAAGCTCCCAAAAACCCCAACTTGAGTATTTGCTGACATTTTCTGTAGTTATTATTAATAAGTCAATAAAGCAACTACTATACCTGTGGAACACCCAATTTTTTACAAGCATCAAGAAAGTTCTCGACATTTCTTCGGCACTTTGCCATACTGAGTTTAGGCTGTAAAGACAGGATGTTAGATCTTCATCATACATTCATGAGAGACTGCATTTCTGATGCAAATTCAGCAACAGTTGCTAAAACACAAAACAAATGCTAAGACTCAGTATATGAAAACAGCTGTTAAACTAAACTTCTGAGCCTTGTTTAATGCTTCTTGCAGAAAAAGTGAGGAATGTAGCCAATTAATATGGTAAACATGATTCATGATGTTTTAGTATTGAACTTCAAAGGCTTATTTTCATATAAGATGCAACAAAAGCGAGATAAATGACTTACCACTGCTGGCGATGGTACGTGAATGCTGGCAACAGAACGTGGCCTTATGTGATTGGCTAAATGGCAAAGAACTACTCCATCCATCAATGCTGCTCCAATGTCATCTGGCAAAATTACTTTTAACCTTGATTCAAGATTCTGTTAAGAAGTCCATAAGTTACTTTCAACATCAGCTAACTTTTAATTTTATATCCAGGGTATTTTAAAGCATTCAGTTTAGAAGGAACATTTTAATACTAAAGTGAAGTAAATGGAGTCAATTCAAACTTTACTGAGTACAAATATCCTTTTCTCTTTATCATTAACCTTACGTTCCCTTTTTTTTTTAAAATGATACAACTACATACATTGAGAAAGACATTCGGCCAACAACTACCATGATACATAGCTCTCAAAGCCATAAGATAAACTCACTACACATAAGATGAGCTCACTACTTATAATAGGAAAGCACAGAATTTAAGGACAGAAACGTTAGGCTGAATACCACATTAGCTGTTAGTGTGCAGAATTTGTGTGTTGAAATCATACACAATTTTAGTAGAAGGAGGAAAAAAGAAGAGGGGAACACAACCACTTTGGGCATGGCTATTTCACTCGTGTAGATGACAGTTAAATAGCTGACAAAAGGGTGGCCAAGAAGTGCCCACACTTGTGTTGTAAAACAGAGAAGGGAAGCAGGGAACATTTTTTGTCACCCCAGCAGCAAGCCTTCACTGCTCAGGAAGTGAACCAGACAAGCAGAAAACAGCCTTCATAGAAGTCACACCCCAAGTTAGTACTGCCCTGGAAAGCAGAGCTGCTACGATTTACAGTTACGATAACTGTTACATATTTTGAGAACAGAACTACACAGAAAAAAACTTATTGGAAGTCTGAAATTTAGATCCCATTCAGTGTTGTATGACTTGTACCAACTTTCTAGACTCAAAAAGCATTTGCCTATTCAAAAGACTGTGACCATCTTTCTTCAAATCTCAGGTCAAATAGCAGCAAACACAAGCAGACTTACTGTCTCCCTAGGAAAACCTAATACCTTAGAAACAAAAAAAAAAATTTTCATTTCACTTAATTTTTCAGCTAAAAACCCATTTAGTTCCTGGTTGGTATTTTGGTTAGCCTGTTACATGAAATTCCTACTACAGAGATGCCCTTGTATAATTGCAATGATTTGCAGACCTTTATTATAAAGGCTTAAATTGTGGTACACAGCAAACTAAATGCACTGTACCCACAGAGTAAATAATGGTACATACATTGCGAAGCTGTCTTATTTGTTCCCTTTCTTCCCTTAAATGCTCCATTTTCCTCCTCATTGTAAATCCAGGATCCACTGCACCGTAGTCCTGGCGAGATGCACGGCTGAAAGCTATTAAACATTAGTCAAGTTAGTTTGCAGAATTCCAATTAAAAAAAATGCAATGGCTAAAAACCTACCACCAAGAATAAAAAAGGGGAAAAAGCTGCAGAACTTTTCAGAACAAATATATTTAAGTATCCTCATGTAAAACATGCTATGTAACTTATCTTTCAATTAAAATACACAGATCATCTTACTTAAGTGCAAATGGATAACTAGAAAATATGGAGACAGAATTGACTTCAATATTCAAATATCTGTTTGAGGTAACTCAACTCTATTTGCACTTTTCCAAGCATACCTTGCAATCTAGCTTTGAAAGTATTTTCATTGTGGTGTACTTTTAATCAAGTATGAAGTCTTTATGGAGACTAAAAGAAGGGACAGAACACCCTGATATAACTTACAATGAAAGACTTAAAATATATACACGCACACACACGTGTTAGGTGTGCATATGCAGAGACACAGTGATTGCTTATTAAAAAACTAATTAAAAATGCAAAATGTCTCATCTAAAAGTTCAGAGTTCTTCAGAAAGCAGGTCAAATAATTACATTTACTTTACTATTCTTCATGGTCAGGAAGTCTTCAAATGACAATTCTATTATTTCATAGAACACTGGCAAATAAAAACTCTTCTGTAGCAATACCACTGTATCCTTATGTATTTTACGCCATGCTTTTGACAGAGGGGGGAAAAAAATATCGTACTTACACCTTCAGAACTTCCTATATTGTTTCTAATAGTTTGGATTTTAGCAAGAGATCTAACAATCAAAAGTAACAGAAATTTTATAGATACTCTTAAAATCACTGCTCTGATTTTAGGCATTATGAGAGTATGTAGTTTGTATGCAAAAAAATATAATTGCATGTTACCAACAATATCTATGGAACCATCTAAAACCACAAAGATTTTGGCTTGTAACTAAGAAACAAAATGCTATTCACTTTGCTAGAACTGAGTGAAAGGGATGCTGCTTCACAGACATGAGCAGGCAGTGGCTCCTAGGAAGGCTACTACCACACTGAGAAAAGATGGGCTGAAAAGTCCTAACAAGCCTGCTTCCTCCTACCAAACCTGCACTTTCCTGTAGCCAAGGATGTAGATAACTCAGAAGCCTCTAAATGATCACAGCCAGGCATGTCCTGGTACATGCAACTAACCTATCTATCTCTGGCACCGAAGCTTCATGCAACTGCTTACAAATCTCAAGTGACTTTAGGGCCCTGAAGGTCATTTGCATGACCTCAGCCAGACATATTCTACTACTGAGGGCTCACAGGCTAGTATTCAGGAGATCAAGCTTTGCTTGATAAACACTGAACAAAATTAAACTGAAGAGTTGAGATCATTCTTTCGTAATGAATTTGCACGAAGACTGTTCCCTTAAAAACAGAGAAGACCGATATGAACTGGAAAAAGGATTGCACTGTGGTTTTTCCAAACTATGTTTTACACTGTTGACACATAGACACTTGCAAACAAAAGAATACTGTAACTGAAAAAAAAAAGTATTATTTCTACCTAGATTTCAGAGGACTGAAAGTCTGCTTTAGACAACACAACTTTCTTACGAGGTTATGGCAGAATCTTGGAAGAGTCAGGGTGCAACAAAGCACTAAGCCATAAAACTCCTGGCAAAGCTCTGCTCAAAGCATCCTTTCATAGGACAAATTACAAAAATCTGCTTCTCTTGAAACCCTCCTGCCTCAGCCATCAGGTCTCAAGAACAATTGCATGCCATTTCGCTGTTCTTTCACAGTGATTAAATATACACAAAAATAAATCAGTGGAGAAAAGAATTTAAAAATTAATTAAAAAAAAAATTACTGTGCAACTTGGTGAACTTTCAATTATTCATTTGCCAAAGCAGCTGTCTATGTGTTTCCCAGTACTATGCCTGTGATAAGTACACTGAGTGGATTGCTGTACTGTTCCATCTCTTCATACTCATTCCAATTCATGCATCTGCTATCCTTACCATCTATTCCAGCCTGGGAAATAAACATCTGTTCTATCATGCTATGTTAGAGAACAGCAGCTTACCTGACCTTGGTTTGAGACCAAATGGACCATGAGTGTTACTATCTGTCCTTTCATAATCCTGTTAAAAGAGATAAAATGAATTTTCTTCCATTCATTAAAAAAAACCCTAACTTTTGTTCCCATCAAGATAGTGTTTAAATTATTCTTTCCTAACAAAAGTGAGTCCTGCTTAACCGTAACACACTCTTTTGAAGGGCACAGTATAAGATAAATGGAATGAAAGTAACCTCACTCGATGCAGATAGAATTATCTTACTGAGGAAGAAAAGCAGCACCAAATTAACCAAAATCTACTCTAGACCATTTCAAACTATGCAAACCATTCTGTGAACAGAGTTCTAAGCCAGCTGTAAGCAAATGCAAATACCCTCCCAATGCTTAGCATCAAAATATTTATTAAGAAATGTTTATTTTCCATAATGAAGGTCAGGTTTTTCTCATTTCACCATCTAAAAAGAGATGAACTCAGTAATTTGGTATGTACATGAGATCTCCCAAATACAGTGAAATGAGTTGAAATAAGGAGATGTTCTCATTCTGCTACCTCAGGTTCCTTATTAACATTAGGTTGAAATGTTAATTATCTTTGGTATGCTTTATTCAGAGCTCAGTACTATAGTGCAGCCACTGCAAGACTACATGGACATTCCTTAAAAAGGAAAGCAACCAGTGAATGAAGCTTGCAAGACTGCACCACAAAGGCAACAGCCAGAATTGTAAAGCATGAAACTCTCTAAGAAGTGTCAGTACCTAAAATACTAAACCACAAGTTTTACTTAAAATCCTCTGGATGGCTAGTTCATAGGGGACACCTACAAAATATGGCAAATTTGATTCTTGTTTTATTAGCTCTTTTCATTAGGAGAGATAATAGAGACAAAGCAATGCACCTTTCTACACACCAGTCAAAAAGAAAATCTAGGAGAGGTCAGATAGTTGCAAGGTAAAACAAGTTGTAATATCCGTCTCTAGTTTCTATCTATTTTTGAATTTTTATTATGATGAAATATTTCTAATTTTAGTTTCAAAAGAAACTAACAGCTCTATATCTGCATGGAAAACCTAGTGACAAGTAATGGACACAAAGAAATGTTTGTTGAATGAACAACAAAACCACAAACTTGTACCTCAGATGACACAGGAGACTGTGGGGACACATTAGTATTATCACTGTCTTGCTAAAAAGAAATCAAAGACATGAAATTATAAAAATGAAAATTATGATTTAACAAGAAACATGAAATTATGAAATACACAATACGTGAGACATGCAACATTTGTTAAGCATGCAACAAACTGGCAACGACTAAACTTGAAAACATGAAGTCAAGGAAACACTGTTGACTGTTTACGCTGAATATTACTTTTACATTGCCTCTGCTTGATAGGTGAATTCACTTTCCTATTACCAAAGCAAGTAAATGTCCTACTTTTCCCCAGTACACAATCTTGATGACTTTTTTCAAATAAAGGAGTAAAATACTTGTTTCTGCTATGGCTTTGGAATGCAAAGTTTGTTTGCCTGGACTCTAGACAACGTTCTCTTGTCCTGTGATTGTGGCTTGTAGGTGTCCATAAAAGACAAGTGAATAAAACATTTTCTTAAGTATTTTACACAATTACTATTTCTCACCTCATCATTTTCATTTCCACTTGAACTCTTTCTGGAAGACTTATACTGCAAAACACACACAATTATTACTTTAAAATGGAAGTATGGTTTTCATTTGAACTAAATGGCTTGATATCACTCAGATGTTACTTACTGGTGAAGCTGCTGAGAAAAAAACATGTTACAGAATCAAAGGAGCAAAAAAAACAAAACAGAAAAGGAACATTTTGTTCTAGGCTAGTCAAGATCTTCGTTAAGTTGATGAGAGGATAAGAGCATTTTAAAACTAAACACTTATAATGTGAACTCTGACTGCATGTGACAGTTGATCCAAGTGAAAAGATCTTAACAACTGCTACTCTGAAGTGTTATTTCTTAGAAAAAATTATGCAACTTGTGAACGTGACTTCTACAATATGTTATGTAACTTTAAGATTGCTTACACATTGAAAGATTAACTTGACATTATAAAAAAATTAAATTAACAACAACAACAAAATCACTATTTCCTTTACAACTTCAAAGCCTGATCACATCCTTTTATCTATTTAAAGCCAGCATTTTTTCATCAGTTCTCATTTGTTGCACACTGCCTTCATCACTGTCCCACTTCCTGATTATCCTGAAAGCATAGGAAATTAAGGAGGGATTGAAAGGAAGGAATTTACAAAAGCGGTACTTCAGCAAATAAGTGTGTTTCATTGACTGCAGAGCAAGTGTAAAAAAAAAAAAAAAACAAACAAAACCATGCAGCTAGAATTAAAAAAGATCCATCACTACAAAACTCTGATGAGTGCATTGTGTGTATATGGCTGGCCTATCCATCTTTATGATACAACACATAACACAGGCTAAATTAAGAGACTAACTTTGGAACTGGAAGGATGGCTCTGCCTTCAAAGATCTGACTTTTAGGGGTACATATAGGTTTTAGTTAGAAGAATTTCCTGAAAAGAAAGAAAAACCTGACTTGCAGCTATGTTCTTTAAAAGTAATAAACACACAAACTTACATAGCTCTGTTACAGAAAGTTGTATTTATTAGTTATGCACAGAAGATGCTTGCCTTCAAAGTTGTAACTGAGCACTGTTGGACTGCAAAATTGAACAGCTTTACAGAGTTGAATTTTTAACAGCTTTTGAACTACATGCTGAATGATGCCAACAACAAGGATGACCAGCATCTCTCTTGAAAATCAAAGTCTAGGACAAACGTAGCCTTTGTTAGCTATCCTACTGTTGTTCATTTTCTGTGCAAATTAAACACAACTTTTGAAGAGTGACTGAATAAAGTATCGGTTGTTGGTTTGTGGGATTCTTTTGTTCTCCATTTTTTTTGGTAGTTTTAGTTTGTCTGTGTTTCAAACGGTTTGAGGGGCATTTGTGGACTTGTTTGGTTGGTTTGTTTTGGTAGTGGTTGTTTTGTTTTGTATTTTTGGTTTGGTTTCTTTTTTTTTTTAAAACTGCACAGAGTACAGGTAGTTCTGGGGTCAGATAGAGACCTATTACATATATCCATGACTGGGTGTTTCCTGTATGTTCACAGTACAAGGGAATATACTACTTTGGCAGCTGATAGGGCAAAGCCTAATTTTCTATGCCCTGCAGACCTCCACTGCTGACTTCTGTTTATACAAGCCTTTGGACAGTTCTGTGTTCATGTTTTTCCACCATAATTAACCATACCAAAGATAGCACATAGTAATTCTTTTCTGTTGTGGATATGCTAACAAGAATTTCAGCTTGGATGTAGCTAGAATCCAAAACAACTACAAACTATTCCAGCTAAAGAAAAAAAAAAAAGGATTTTGGTTTATAAAATTGTGGTCTTTTTACATATTTAATGCAACAAAGATTTCAGGTTCCAGCAAGACTTCAGTGCAATGCCACAAGAAAAGGAGTTCTGATTCTCATGGGCATTTTCCTACCTTTCTGTTGCACAGTATAATTGCACAGTATATAATATGCATAAAAACGATGCTCTATAAATATTTCTGTATGCTGACCCAAGTAAATTTTCCCTGTTCTAATGACACCCGTTGCACTAATTCAGCATATATTCTTAAGATACTAATGTATCTTAATGTACCTACTTTATTTTCCCCAAGCTTGCCATGGAAGACAGACTTCGTTTCACTTGCTTATGGCCTTGGTTTTGCAAATGAAACTACCAGTGATACGGTATTTTTTGTTACTGATACGGCCTGCTTAATTCACTTTTGAGACATGTCAATAGCTGTATGTAACGTGATTTCAGGTATCCACTTCCATCACAGAACTCAAAACTGAAGTCTGTATCAGCATTTACAGACATCCTTGAAAGTTAGGAGAAATCACTAATGCAGGTCTTCTGTATAGATAGCACAGATGTTTAATGAGTCAAATGACTGAATTCTGCTTTACTTAGAAGTTTCTCCCCCTTCTCCTCAAAGGCTGCAGGGCAAAATTCATTTAGGGATGAAAACCCTGTGTCGTGGTTTAGCCCCAGCCAGCAAC